CCCCGTGGGTTGGCATCCCCTCGTGTGCTGCCTGCCGCGTCCACTTGACACGGCGCTGGGTGGGTTTCCCAGCGGCGTAGTCTCGGCTAATCCGATTTCCATGCCTCCGTCTCTGTGCGATTGCCATTAGTTTCAGCGGTGCTTGAAAGAGGATCCCCATCTCCCTGTGCCCGCAGTCCCCCGAGCCCCGCGGGGTGCTGGTGACCCCCTCCAGTGGGATGGGAGGCACGGAGGTGGGCTAGGACGGATCCGTCCCTGGTGGAAATCAGAGCAGCTCGCTGGCTTCGGTCGGGGCTGCCTAACCCCGGCTGACAGCTGTCCCTATGATATGCGAGATCTGATTTTGGTGGTTAAATTACTTTTGAGGTAAGCAGATGTAAACGGCCGTTGTTTCACTGAAGCACCTGATCCTGTAAGCTCTGTATAGAAATGCCCTAGCAGAAGTCCGAGCAGTCTGCATTTCACTTCCGAAGCTTTTGGTTTGGCTGTGACAAGATATTAATCCTTATCTGGTTGATGGAGGAGTGGCTCGGGGATGGATTTGTGGGGTGGGGAGTTTCCATTCCTTGTTTTGTCATGGTGTGCTCCCGGGGCAAGCTGGCTGATGATGCTTTTCCCCCTGCATTTCAGTGCCCTGCAGAGGGGAAGGGGGGTCCTGTGAAAGTCCCTCCCGGGAACCGAAGTGTGGCAGCGTGGTTCTGCCTTGCAAGCTCATTAAGTGAATAAATCCCAGGGATGCTCGGTTCAGATGGGGCTCCTGCAGGAGAATTTATAAAGTCATTAAAAACATTTTAATGGAAAGTACTAACCATCTATAACACAGCATCTGTTGTCGTGTCTTTGGAAAAACACGTCTAAATTAAGAGAATGGGAGACAGCGAGACAGACTGGTGGGCTTTCTGCTGAAGCAACCAGCTGGCTGGGGCTGCAAGGGAATATTGGTGGAAACTCCTTCCCATCTGTAGCATCAGGCCGGGCCCTGGCTCCCTGGACTGCTCTGGGAGTGCCGGGCAGAGCTGGCTTTGGCAGGGATCGGTTCAGGGAGGAGCGGGGAGGGAAGAGAGGAGCAGCTCTGCGGTGTTTCTGTCTCATCTCGTCCCTCAGTGGGTGTGAAGACACGAGAGAGGGTTCACGGGGAAAGCATGGATGAACATCTGCAACACGCTTTGGCATCCTTGGGCTTACACAGTCCGGCCTGGAGAGGAGGGAATGTCCTCTGCTATTGAAACAGGGTGAAATAGGCAGGGCAGCGAAGGGAAATAAGCTCAAGCTGGTCTCACGTGGTGCCAGCAGCCTCACTTTCCCTGCAGGTGAGGGCAACAACTGGCTCCTGCTTCACTTTCACTGGGGTGTTTCAGCCCTGATGGACGACAGTGGTCAGTAGCTTCGATGTGAGAATGAGTGTCAGCAGGGGAAGGGGTCAGACAAAACGGTGATGGGCTTCTGATATGGCGTGGTTCTCCAGTCCTCTTCTGACCTCGTCCCATGGCACAATCTGTAGGGCTGCTGCAGGAGGATTTGTAAAGTCATTAAAAACATTTTCATTGAAAACACTAACCATCTATACCGCAGCATCTGCTGTTGTGTCTCTGGAAAATCCTGTCTCCGTTCCAAGACTCGGGGCCAGCCAGACAGGCTGGTGGCCTTTCTGCTGCAGCAACCAGCTGGCCGGCAACCGCTTCGGCCGCGAGCCATGCTTCGCTCTGCTGCTGCCTGCGTGGGTTTTTTTGCAGTTCAACGTCTT